GTGTGACTGTTGCATCCGGTTATTCAGAATGTGGCCTGGGAATGGGGTTCTGAGAGGTCGACGAGCACGAAGTGTGTGACTGTTGGTGAAAAACGAGCCCGGCACAGGCCCGGCACCCTGCCGGCCGGCAACTCCCAACGCCTGCCCGGACCCCCCTGTGGAGTGATCTGTGAGCTCTTTTGAGTCAACTAGAAACCTATCAGTCTACGCTGTTAGGTAATTATCCCGGCAAAGTAACCTAACAGCGATGTGTAGAAGCATATCTGAAAGCATTCCCCTTAAGATTCAGGTGAGAATCCAGCTGTAGAGTTCTGCTGTTCTTGCAATCGTAGTCGCATTCGCGATGACAGTCGCAGCGGCAACGGCAGTCGCAGTCACAGCCTCAGCCTCAGCCTGCCTCAGCCTCAGCCTCAGCCTGCCTCAGCCTCAGCCTGCCTCAGCCTCAGCCTCAGCCTGCTTCAGCCTCAGCCTCAGTCTGCCTTCAGCCTCGGCCTCAGCCTCAGCCTGCCTCAGCCTCAGCCTGCATCAGCCTCAGCCTCAGCCTCAGCCTGCCTCAGCATCAGCCTGCCTCAGCCTCAGCCTCAGCCTGCCTCAGCCTCAGCCTCAGTCTGCTTCAGCCTCAGCCTCAGCCTCAGCCTCTCAGCCTCGGCCTCAGCCTCGGCCCTCAGCCTCAGCCTCAGCCTCAGCCTGCCTCAGCATTCAAAATGTGGCCCAGGAATGGAGTTCTGGGAACTAGAAGAACACGAAGGCCTTGGCTCCGGGCATCAAAATGTTGCCCGGGAATGGAGTTCTGGGAAGTCGAAGAGCACGAAGTGGCCTACAGTTGGCTCCGGGCATCCAAAATGTGGCCCGGGAATGGAGTTCTGGGAATCGAAGAGCACGAAGTGGCCTACAGTTGGCTCCGGGCATTCAAAATGTGGCCCGGGAATGGAGTTCTGGGAATCGAAGAGCACGAAGTGGCCTACAGTTGGCTCCGGGCATCCAAATGTGGCCCGGGAATGGAGTTCTGGGAACTCGAAGAGCACGAAGTGTGTGACTGTTGCATCCGGTTATTCAGAATGTGGCCTGGGAATGGGTTCTGAGAGGTCGACGAGCACGAAGTGTGTGACTGTTGGTGAAAAACGAGCCCGGCACAGGCCCGGCCGGCAACTCCCAACGCCTGCCCGGACCCCCCTGTGGAGTGATCTGTGAGCTCTTTTGAGTCAACTAGAAACCTATCAGTCTTCGCTGTTAGGTAAAAACAGCGTTTCGCTCGAGACATCATCTGAGAACGCTTCTTGGGCGCTTCTTGGACCGTCTTAGGCGCCTAAGGCAGCCCAAGAAGCGGCCAAGACGGCGCCCAAGACGGCCCAAGACTGCCCAAGAAGCGCCCAAGACGGCCCAAGAGCGCTCCAAGAGAGCCCAAGACAGCCCAAGGCGGCCCCAAGGCGTCCCAAGAGGCCTCCACGACGCCCCAGGAGGGGCCCACGAGGCGTCCCAAGAGGGCCCCACGAGGCCAAAATCATTGATTTTCCGAAGGGAATCGTGAATTTTTAGCATATACGGCTTTTCGCCTTTCATGGCGTTGAAGAAGGTCCAAGAGGCCCCCAAGACTGCCCCAAGACTGCCCAAGATGTTCCCAAGAGGCCCCCAACATAGCCCAAGAGGGCGCCAAGACGGGCCAAGAGGCGCCCAAGACTGCCCAAGAGGCACCCAAGAGCGCCCCAAGAAGGCCCAAGAGGCCCCCAAGAGGGCACAAAAACGGCGCAAGAGGGCGCCACGACGGCCCAAGAGGCGCCAAGACGGCCCAAGACGGCCCCAGGACGGCCCCAAGAAGCCCCCAAGATGCACCCAAGAGAGCCCAAAATTGCCAAACTTGTCCCGCTTAGTTTTTATCGAGTAGGACGGCCTTCGGGGCTTAAAACCAGCGTTTCGCTCGAGACATCATCGGAGAACGCTTCTTGGGCGCTTCTTGGGCCGTCTTAGGCGCCTAAGACAGCCCACGAAGCGGCCAAGACGGCGCCCAAGACTGCCCAAGACTGCCCACGAAGCGCCCAAGACGGCCCAAGAGCGCTCCAAGAGAGCCCAAGACCGCCCAAGACGGCCCCAAGACGTCCCAGGAGGCTTCCACGACGCCCCAGGAGGCGCACACGAGGCGTCCCAAGAGGGCCCCAAGATGCCTAACTCATTATCCCGGCAAAGCAACCTAACAGCGATGTGTAGAAGCATATCTGAAAGCATTCCCCTTAAGATTCAGATGAAAATCCAGTTGTAGAATTCTGCTGTTCTCGCAGTCGTAGTCGCATTCGCGATGACAGTCGCAGCGGCAACGGCAGTCGCAGTCACAGCCTCAGCCTCAGCCTGCCTCAGCCTCAGCCTCAGCCTGCCTCAGCCTCAGCCTGCCTCAGCCTCAGCCTCAGCCTGCTTCAGCCTCAGCCTCAGTCTGCCTTCAGCCTCGGCCTCAGCCTCAGCATCAGCCTCAGCCTCAGCCTGCCTCAGCCTCAGCTCAGCCTGCCTCAGCCTCAGCCTCAGCCTCAGCCTCAGCCTCAGCCTCAGCCTCAGTCTGCTTCAGCCTCAGCCTCAGTCTGCCTTCAGCCTCGGCCTCAGCCTCAGCCTGCCTCAGCCTCAGCCTGCCTCGGCCGCAGCATCAGCCTGCCTCAGCATTCAAAATGTGGCCCAGGAATGGAGTTCTGGGAACTAGAAGAACACGAAGTGGCCTACAGTTGGCTCCGGGCATTCAAAATCATGCCCAGGAATGGAGTTCTGGGAACTTGAAGAGCACGAAGTGGCCTACAGTTGGCTCGGGGCATTCAAAATGTGGCCCGGGAATGGAGTTCTGGGAACTCGAAGAGCACGAAGTGGCCTACAGTTGGCTCCGGGCATCCAAAATGTGGCCCGGGAATGGAGTTCTGGGAAGTAGAAGAGCACGAAGTGGCCTACAGTTGGCTCCGGGCATCCAAAATGTGGCCCGGGAATGGCGTTCTGGGAGGTCAAGGAGCACCAAGTGTGTGACTGTTGCATCCGGTTATTCAGAATGTGGCCTGGGAATGGGGTTCTGAGAGGTCGACGAGCACGAAGTGTGTGACTGTTGGTGAAAAACGAGCCCGGCACAGGCCCGGCCGGCAACTCCCAACGCCTGCCCGGACCCCCCTGTGGAGTGATCTGTGAGCTCTTTTGAGTCAACTAGAAACCTATCAGTCTACGCTGTTAGGTAATTGATTTTCTCAGGGAAAACGTGCATTTCTAGCATATACGGCTTTTCGCATTTCATGGCGTTGAAGACGGTCCAAGAGGCCCCCAAAACCGCACCAAGACGGCCCAAGATGTTCCTAAGAGGCCACCAAAATAGCCCAAGAGGGCGCCACGACGGGCCAATGGGCGCCCAAGACTGCCCAAGATGCCCCCAAGAGCGCCCCAAGAAGGCCCAAGAGGCACCCAAGAGGGCCCAAAAACGGCCCAAGAGGGCGCCAAGACGGCTCAAGAGGCGCCAAGACGGCCCAAGACGGCCCCAGGACGGCCCCACGAAGGCCCCAAGAGGCCCCCCAAGGGAGCCCAAAGGCGGCCAAAGGCAGCCTGGTCCGCTCCCAGGAGGCCCCCAGAGGCCCCCGAAAAGCTCAAAAGGTCGCCAAGAGGCACCCTGAGAGGCTCCCCAATAGCCCCCCCAAGAGGCCCAAAATACGCCCACAGGCTCTTAGCACTGCGGCTCCCAAGAGCGAGCGGTGACGTAACCGAGCTGATAAGACCAAAGCTCTCCCAACATCGAGCTGCGGCGTAATAAGCTCTTGCAGCCAGGGCACAGGGACGGGCGGCAACGCGTGGACAACGAGCGGTCCACGCAAGGACAACGCGGGGTTCTGGAAAGCTGGAAGCCCAAACGCGGAAAACGCAACGCGACCCCCACGAGGCGTCCCAAGAGGGCCCCACGAGGCCAAAATCATTGATTTTCATAAGGAACATGTGCATTTTTAGCATGTGCGGCTTTTCGCCTCTCATGGCGTTGAAGACGGTCCAAGAGGCCCCCAAGACCGCCCCAAGACGGCCCAAGATGTTCCTAAGAGGCCACCAAAATAGCCCAAGAGGGCGCCACGACGGGCCAAGAGGCACCCAAGACTGTCCAAGAGGCCCCCAAGAGCGCCCCAAGAAGGCCCAAGAGGCCCCCAAGAGGGCCCCAAAACGGCCCAGGAGGGCGCCAAGACGGCCCAAGAGGCGCCAAGACGGCCCAAGACGGCACCAGGACGGCCCCAAGAAGGCCCCAATAGCACCCCAAGGGAGCCCAAAGACGGCCAAAGGCAGCCTGGTCCCTTCACCCCCGCAGCCCAGAAGCCCCCAGGAGGCCCCAAGAGGCACCCGAAAAGCACCAAAAGGGCCCCAAGAGGCACCCAAGAGGCGCCCCAAGAGCCCCCCAAGAGGCCCACAATACTCCCAAAGGCTCTTAGCACCGCGGCTCCCAAGAGCGAGCGGTGACGTAATCGAGCTGATAAGACCATAGCTTCCAACAGAGAGCTGCGGCGTAATAAGCTCTTGACGCCAAGGCACAGGGACGGGCGGCAACGCGTGGACAACGAGCGGTCCACGCAAGGAAAACGCGGGGCTCTGGAAAGCTGGCAGCCCAAACGCGGAAAACGCAACGCGACCCGACCGCCCCCTCCAAAACAAGAAACGCGCTCAAAGAAAGCTCCGCGATTCTCCGAGGCTGAGATAGGACAAGAGCGAGGGGAAGGGAGTCAATAAGAGGTGTAAGAGCGGTCGAGCCAGCGATCTCGTGCGCTCTGAAAGTAAGTGCGCTTTCCGTCCCCGTGCCAAGCAGGTCTAATGGCCTTCGGCCCATCCCGCCGCGGTGCGTGTATTGTGGGCAATGAAGCCTACTGGACGTTCGTTGGGATCTCGTGGGGGCTTCTCGGGGGCGTCGCAGAGGCAGTCTGGGCGCCTCTTGGGGGCCGTTGTGGGGCCTCTTTTGGGTATCTTGGGGGCCTCTGGGGCCTCCTGCGCGCCTCTTGAGGGCCTCTTGGGGCCTCTCCCGTAGTCATTTTGGCTCATGAGCTGCTCCTCGGGGCGGGAGCGCGGGCGGAGTCGGCGCGCGCGCGGGGGGTCGCCTCTGGGCGCGGATGGCTGTGGTCGGCTGCGTGGCTGCCCACGAGGCGGCGGCGCAGTCCGAGACCGCGGCGGGTGGAGCTTCTTTCTGGCCTGCGCGGCGGGCGCGGCGGGCAGCGGCGCGGCAAGCAGCCTGTGGAAGGCTGGCGGCCGCCTACTTGCGCGTCGAGGCCCTGGAGAAGGAGGTGCGAGGGCTAGAGGCGCAGGTCGCAGCGATGCGGGAGCGGCACGCGGAGGCGGCGGAGCAGGCGTTCGACCTGGCGGGGCGCCAGGGCGACCCCAGCGCTGCGGAGCCCAACGCGGTCCTGTGCAACGAGATCGTCGCGTGCGTGGCGGTTGCCGTACCCGTAGTCGAGGAGATGTTGGCGGCTGGACAGGTCGCTGGCTGCGGCGAGGCTTCGGCGAGTGCAGGCGCGGCAGAGGCGGTTGCTGGGGCTGCCAGGGTGGCCAAGCCAGCAGGCGCGCCGCGGGCGAAGGGGCTCGAGAGGGCCAGGCGCAACGCAGGCTTGCACTGCCCGCCGCGGCGCGGAGCCAGCATCGCGCGCATGCCGCTGCAGGCGTTGAATCGCCTGCAGCGGCCGGGCGGCGCGGTGGCGTGTGCGGGGGCGCGGCGGCCCGGCAGCCGGGGGGTGTCGGCCAGCGGGCTGCGCCGTCGGCAGCCGGCCGCGCGCCCAGCTATCGAGGCCGCCCCAGCCGACTGGATGGTGGCGGCGCGACGTGGGCGATCCCTGCCTGTGGGGGCGAGGTTCGAGCAGGCCCAACAAGTGCGGCCTGCTGAGGGCGTCGTGGAGAAACCGCTAGCAGGGGGGCCGCGGTGGTGGACGGTGGCGGCGGAGCAGGCTGGCCTGGCGGCCACCACCCCCGCAGCGATCGTCGTCGAGTCGGGGATGGACAGACCTCCCACCCTCACACGTCGATTACTGAATTGTCCGTTGTCGGTTCTCGGGAGGGCGCCGCGGCCGTCATTTTCCAGGCTTGCGCCCGCCAGGTTTGGGCCCGAGGTCGCTTTCACTACACCGCGTTTTACTAAAGGGGGTTTTGTCCATCCCCGATCGAAGACGCCCCGCCCGACAGCCGCAAGAAGGAGAACGTTGGCGTCGGCGGGGAGGGGGCGGGCGACGGGGCGGGCCAGGTGGAGGCGGAGCTCGTGGCGGGCGTCGACGCTGACGGGCCTATCGGCGGCGGCGGCGACGACGCGAGGAACGAGGGGGGCGAGGTTCTGGGCGCGCAGGCCGAGGAGGACCCCATCAGGAGCAACCGCCTCAAGGAGGGCGAGCTATAGAAGGGTAGCAGGGAACAGGGCGGCGTCGACGTGGCCTTCGACGACAGCGGCGGCCTCGGCAGGAGGGCGAGCCGCAGGCTCATGGTGCTGCAAGGTCATGTGGCGGTCGGCGAGCACTTGAAGCGCGCGGGCCGTGCCTGGGCGGCCAGTCTCATCGGCTGCCGCTGGAGGCAGTGGTGGAACTCGGCGGGCCTCGCGAGGAGGCGCGCGGAGCTCCGCCAGCAGCTGAAGAGTGCGCGCGCGGTCCAGCGCCCCGCCCTGCTGGCGAAGGCCGTGCAGGCGAGGCGTGGCCGATAAACCGCGCGCGTCTGGCCCATCGGGGGCTGGGGCCGCCCAGCATGGGGCAGAGAGCGATCTGTATGGCCACAAACCGTGCGGCGAGTGCCAGCTTTGGGCGGTCTTCTCAGGCGTCGAAGTGCGCAGTCGGTCGGGGCTTGTCGCGGGATCCGCGAGGGTTTCTTTGGATGGAAAAAAAACCTCTTGGGGCCTCTCGGTGGCCTCTCGGGGGCCTCTTGGGGCTTCCTGGGCGCCCCTTGGGGCCTTTTTGGGGCCTCTTGGGGCGGAAGGTTTAGCTTTTCGGTTCGTGCTCCTCCTCTTGGGCTCTTTTTGGGACCGTCATTGGGCCCTCTTTCTTGGGTGGGTTCCTCTTGGGCCGTCTTGGGGCGGTCTGTGGGGCCTCTAGGGCCATCTGGGAACGTCGGGAAGCCGAAACGGCGAGAACGCCGAAATGCTTTAAACACCAGTGGCCTCTTGTGACCCGCTGGGGAGGCCTCTTGGAGGCCTCTTGGTGCGTTTTACGGCCTCCCGGGCCGTCTTAGCGGCCATCTTGAGCGCCTTGGAGCGATCGTTCGGCGATTCGGGGTTCTCTTGGACCGTTTTGGGGGCTTCTTGGGGCCCTCTTGGCCCGTCTTGGGGCCCTGTTGGGGCCGAGCAAGTCGCGCGGGGACACTTGGCAAGGTCAGGGGAAACCGCGCCGCGCCCTGGGAGACTTGGCCCGAGGGGTTCCGAACCATTTACATATTCCTCAGGAGTGAGGACTGAGGCTTAGAGGATTGGGCCCAGGACTTGAGGACACGCCCACTCCTTGCCCAGCGGCGCGGTGGCGGATAGGCCAAAAACCGCAAAGACACAAGCATCGGCTCCTCCATTGACGCTGCGCCCGTTGGAGGGGGAGAG